CCCACATGGACAACGATGTGGTTCTTACCCCCCTCCCCCCGTCTTCCCAGACCCTCCCCTCCAAACAGATAGCTTGGCAGTGCTTGGTGACCCTTCTATCCCCTCTACCTGCATCTATACCTGTGCCTGGGGGCATGAGGTGAGCCTTGATGAGAACACTGCCCTATAGGTGTGCCCATCAGGTTGGCTTCCCGTCTCCGCCGTTATCTTGGGGACATGGAAACGCCCTGAGTACAGGAGCAGGTAATATGGGAGATATGACGTGGTGTGTGGCTGTGCCAGGCGTGTGTCCGGCTGTACTGCTGTGTGCGCAGCCCGTAGGTGTGTACGTTGTTTGCACGTGTGTGTCTCCATACCTACGGGTATGTGCACACCTATGTGAGTTGTCTCTGTGTCCATTCAGACTCACTGTGTTCTCCTTCCACCCTTTGGACGGGGTAATTAGTGGCTTATCTCGTTAGAATGTGGATTGGCGAACTTTTATCTCATTAGATCTTCAGCTGTGCCAGGATTGGGAGCGAGTTTGTGTCACAGTGACTGCTGTAGAAGGTCCTGATTGGCAGAATTTTGCCCTTCTGTGTTCAACTCAGTGCGTCTCAATGCTGTCACGTCAAAGGGGAGGCCACTCATTGTAAAAATAGGAGTGGTTGGGTTGGGAAGGACTTAAAAGGTCATAGGACTATGGGATGGTTGGATTGGAAGGATCTTTCAAGATCACAGAACCATAGGATGGCTTGGTTGGGTTGGAAGGGTCCTTGAAGATGGTAGAACCAAAGAATGGTTGGATCAGAAAGGTCCTTTAGGACTGTAAAACACTTGGGGTTGGAAGAGTCCTTGAAGATCATAGAACGGTTGGGTTGGAAGGGTCCTTTAGGACTGTAGGACACTTGGGTTGTCTGTAGGACACTTGGGGACTGTAGGATGGTTGAGTTGGAAGGTTCTGCCTTGTCCCAAGCTCTGCTGTCCCCTGGGATGCCCATTTAGTGTGTTAATTCCCAACAGTGCTCACTCAGGGCATTGGGCTCCACAGCCGGATTACTTCACACACAAAGCACGAGTCTGGCTTTTCTAGACTATTTTCCCATCTGCTGACCCAGAAACTTTGGGATCTTGCATTGAATCTTGCCAAATCTCCATGCATTTGCTTTCAGACATTCACTGATGTATGGACATCTCCAGAATTATTCAATTTCCCACATCCTTTTCTGAAGTTTGCTCATAATTAGCGCTAAAATAGTTCCACACGCTCTACTTTGTGGAAACAGGAGAAGTTCTCCCAAATGCTTTGAAAAACAGATGAACACAGAACAGAAGACCCGGTGGCTTTAGAGAGGCAATCAGCAACTCTCTCCAAGGCTGCCAAAACCTTTCTCCCTCATTTCATTCCTGTACTTGTTTTTCCCTCTGTGCTGTTAAGCAAACTGACTTAAAATCTCAGAGCAGCACATAAGGAGAACAGAACCAGTCCAGACCAGAGCTGTGTCTGGGGCCGTCGTTCTCTGCTCATGCTGCAGGCTGAGCTTTTGGGTGAGTAACAGCCACGGCTGAACTTACACCTGCAGGTGTGAGTCAGGGCCCTGAGTCACGTTGGCTGCTTGCTGGCCCGGGTTTGTGCTTGCACCGTGGTTGGGTGGTAGCATGCTTGCTCGCTGAGTTTGCCAGGTGAGCGGTCGCTGTGTTTTGTGTGATCTCTTATTGCGTCCCAAGACGAGGAGTCCAGAAGTGGTGGAGCTGGTGGCTGTGCTCTTACAGAATCCTGGGACTGTAGTGGTTGGAAGGGAGATGTGGAGATTCTCCAATCCAACCCCTGATAGAGCAGGTTCCCTGTAGCAGGGATGTGTCCAGGTGGGTTTTGAATATCTTCAGAGAAGGAGACTCCATGGGTCTTTGTGGCCACAGGACACACGACTGGCTCAAAGCCACCAAGTCCTTCTCTGGAGAGCTTCTTTCCAGCATCTCAGCCCCTACCTGTCCTGGTGCGTGCAATTGTTCCTCCCCAGGTGTAGGACTCTGCACTCACCCTTGTTGGAGCTCATCAGGTTCCTCTCTGCCCAACTCTCAGCCAGTTGTTAGCGTGTGCTCTTCCATCATTCTGTGGTCTTCATCATCCTTCCATCCCAACCTGCCATGGCTCTATGTTCTTTAAGGACCCTTCCAACTCAATCATTCTATGGCTCCGTGATCTTTAAGGACCCTTCTAATCCATCTGTTCTGTGGCTCTTGGGTCCTTAAGGACCCTTCCAACCCAACCATCCTGTGGCTCTGTGATCTTTAAGGACCCTTCCATCCCAACCTTCCCTGGCTCTGTGTTCAGGACCCTTCCAACCCAATCATCCCATGGCTCTGTGATCTTTAAGGACCCTTCCAACCCAACCATCCCATGGCTCTGTGATCTTTAAGGACCCTTCCAACCCAACCATCCCATGGCTCTGTGATCTTTAAGGACCCTTCCAACCCAACCATCCCATGGCTCTGCTATCTTTAAGGACCCTTCCAACCCAACCTTCCATGGCTCTGTGATCCTTATGATCCTTCCAACCCAACCATTCTGTGTCTCTATGATCTCTAATGTCCCTTTCAACCCAACCATTCCACGCCGTGTTTCTGTGATACTTTTGGAACACACCTCATGAATGTGTGTGAATTCTGTATGATGGAGTGGAGGGATTTTGTGGGAGTCCTGCACTCCATTCTGCGTTCCTTGAGCGCTGCTCTCTGCTTTCCAAGTTCTTCCACTTCTGCCAGGCTGTTAAGTGTTCCCTCGAGGCTGCATTCTCCTAATGAGCACGGCTGGATGAACACTGCTTCGTTAAATCTCATTGCTGGGGGCCATGTGCTTTTATTGCACACTACACCCCTGGGCCCATCTCCTGTTGGAGTCTGATTTCAGGAGATGCTGTGCTTCTGGCTGCCTGGAAGGAGCCAGAACCCGAATTTTGGTTGAGTGACAGGGATGGAAGTTGCAGGCAGTGCTGGGAATAACGTGACTGAAGGAAGAAAGTCACTCCAAAGGCTGTACAGAGTTACAGTGGCGCAGGGCATGGAAATATCTGTTTTGCTTAGTGATAATCCTGCTGAAACGCTTCACTTTCAGCCATAATTGAGTTAATTCCTTCTTTTTTCTCCTGTTCTGTTAGCTGAATCCAGTAGAAATCTGCGTGGGCTGCCAGGTCAACCCATGCACTGAAATGGGAGAAGGCAGCGAGCAGGAAAATGAGGCTGAGGAATGTGAGGCGGTGATTCTGCAGGGAGCACAAAAAGCATGAGGTCAAAAATTAGCAATATATAGCTGTATTTGAGGGCATTTGTCAACTGACCCCTTCTGCTGACAGCCTTGAAGCACTGAATTGCTGCAGTGCTTCTGCTGTGTGCTGGACGCCTTCAGAAAGCAATTTTGTTCCTGGGTGTTCTGGGGAGGAAAACGAGGATGCTTAGGAAACGCGGTGCATAAAGAATGCTCAGAAGCTGTATTACTTATTTTGCAAAAATCCACGCTGTCAGGTTGCTATCCTGCTTTTTTCCCCCAACTGAGAGCTTTCCCACAGTACAAAGACAACTTTTGGCCATCCTTTATTACATTGTTTTTGGAAAAAGTGCATGAGTGGAGTCCGCACGCACACGGAAATGCTTTTCATTGCTGTAGAAATGGGCACGGGTGTAGTGAGTGAAACGGAGAGCAGCTCGGGGCAGCACGTGGCTCCGTGACGTGGTGACATTTGCAGGGACTCTCCTGCTGACCTGGTGACACTGTGCTCTTTCCCTGCCTGGGACAAACAGCGTATTGCAAACAGAGCATTGGAATAGTGTGAGATAAGCAGAGATAAGCCTGGAAGCACACCCTGAGGACGACGTCGTGTGTTGCTGCTGCTGCAAGGTAACTCCGCTTCGTCTTGGCTCGTGGCATGCCAAAATTAAGGTGCTTGCCAGCAGGTTTGGGCTTTCTGTTCTGAAATGAAGCAGCGACCTTTTTCCTGGGATACCTCAGGGTTCAGCAGGATTCCTGCTGGATCCCATGAAAGGAGAGGAGAGCAGTCCCTGGTTAAGCCTTTCTCCATGCACTTTGTGCCCTCCCAGCAAGAGGGACCCAGTACCAGTGCTTCTGCTGCTGACATCTGAGGTTCCAGAGTCAACAAGAAACCCCCTTTTGTTTTCCAGGAACTCCTGTTTAAAGTAAAGCTCCTGAGTGTTTCATTCCGATGCATGAGGTATTGGTGCTGTGTGCTTTCAGCATGCTGAGGAGTGTGTTTTGGATTCCAGCAATGAAAAATGTGATATAAATAGGAACGGTTGTGTGCACCCTTTGCTTCTTAGGCAGCTGTGTGTTGTAGAGGTGCTGGGGTGAGGGTATGTCATGGTTTTATGATATTTTTTTGATTGGTATTCCCAAACTGTGACAGGGCAGAGAGGAGCAGTTGCCATTCCATAATTCAGTGATCTTTGAGGACCCTTCCAACCCAACCATCCTATGGCTGTATGATCTTTAAGGACCCTTCCAACCCAACCATCCTATGGCTGTATGATCTTTAAGGACCCTTCCAAACCAACCATCCTATGGCTGTATGATTTCTGAGGACCCTTCCGACCCAACCATCCTATGACTGTATGATCTTTAAGGACCCTTCCAACCCAATCATCCCATGGCTCTGTGATCTTTAAGGACCCTTCCAACCCAACCATCCTATGGCTGTATGATCTTAAGGACCCTTCCAACCCAACCATCCTATGACTGTATGATCTTAAGGACCCTTCCAACCCAACCATCCTATGACTGTATGATCTTAAGGACCCTTCCAAACCAACCATCCTATGGCTGTATGATCTTTAAGGACCCTTCCAACCCAATCATCCTATGGCTGTATGATCTTTAAGGACCCTTCCAACCCAACCATCCTATGACTGTATGATCTTAAGGACCCTTCCAACCCAACCATCCTATGGCTGTATGATCTTTAAGGACCCTTCCAACCCAACCATCCTATGGCTGTATGATCTTTAAGGACCCTTCCAACCCAACCATCCTATGACTGTATGATCTTAAGGACCCTTCCAAACCAACCATCCTATGGCTGTATGATCTTTAAGGACCCTTCCAACCCAATCATCCCATGGCTCTGTGATCTTTAAGGACCCTTCCAACCCAACCATCCTATGACTGTATGATCTTTAAGGACCCTTCCAACTCAACTATCCTATGACAGTATGATCTTTAAGGACCCTTCCAACCCAGCCATCCCATGGCTCTGCTATCTTTAAGGACCCTTCCAACCCAGCCATTCTGTGATTTCAGTAGCCCACATCTTCCATCCTGCCACGCAGATTCCTTTTCCTACATTGGGATCAAACATTACAAGTCATCATGCCTTTACCTATCCAAGCTAAGTGATTTTTTTTGTAGTTGGTCAGAAATTAAGGATTCCTAGCAATCAATTAACAAAGCACTAACAGCATACGGAAGCTCTGTGGTAACATCAGCTGTTTCTTTTTCTTATCAGTACTGCCACGATCTATTTCTCATTATTTCTCATTTGTTACCCCCTCAGCCCTCCTGCAGTGAGAGAGGGTTGTAGCTGGTGGGAAAAACTCTGGAGAATAACCAAGCAACAGAACAGTGGGAAGAACACCGTGCTCCCTGATTTTGCTGTCTGGCTTCGTAATGCATTCCAGTAATGCACAGATGAGCACAATACAAGCAGAACAAATTCGACTTCAATACAAGAGTTGTGGGAGGGGAACTCTATGTCTCCTTGCCAGAGCGGTGTCCTGCCTCACCCCAGCCAAGTGTGGGCTATCGGCGTGGAAATGCTCCTTCACTTCTCCTACCTGATGCTAACTGGAGGTGATTTGCAGGTGATGGACTGCAGCTCTCACTGCGCAGCTTTGCTGATCAGAAGGTGTTGTAGAAAATGGGGTTTTGTGCTGAAGAGCCCAATGCAGGGAGCCGAAGGCGTGTGGCTGTGCTTTGTTTTCCTTCAGAAGGAAATACAGGGAACCATATTTGTCCTAACAAAGCAATGCATTTCATTTCGGCTCTGCTCTGGCTTTGGCTCACCCAAAGCTTCAGGAAGGATGAGGGTGACAGACACAGGAGAAGCGCTTCCCAGAACAAAACAGGTTTGTGTTTTGCTTTTTTTTTTTCCTTCCCTTTCTTTTTGCGTCAACAACCCCTGCAACAATCCAGGCCTTTCACTCAGTTTAAATTGGGTTATTCAACACTAATGTTATGCAAGGCTCCTGATTAGTGGTGTGGAGTTCGAGTTGGGAGACTATTGGAGCTGCGATGGAATTAAGGTAACCCTGGCAACCATTGTCATTAAAATCAGGTTCCTCTTGTTGCATTCCTTGCAGCCCTCGTGTGCTGAGGCAGCACAAGGGTTCTTCCCAGAATATTCCAGTCTGGAGTGTGGAGGCAGAGGGTTGGAGGTGGTGAACGTGCCTCATTTTCTTGTTTAATTCTCTGTGGAATCTTAGAACCATGGAATGTCCCAATGGAAGGGATCTGCTGGGAGACCTGGTCAGGAATTTCTCTTGGTGTACTCCATGGCTTGTCCTTGAGCCCTGACCCTGTGGCTGAGGAGAAGGAGGGGAAAGAAGTAAAATTAAGAAGGGATGTAGTGTGATGGTACTCCCCCCCTCCCCCGACCTCCACATAGGAGGAGACTTTGAGAAACAGAGAAGTAGGGAGAAGGAAGAGGCTTTGCTTGGCTGTCCTGTGATACGGAGATGACCTTGGGCAAATGGCTTTGGTTGTCGGTGCCTTCCTCTTATCCAGTGAGGCGATATCACTTCTCTCTTCTCTGCAGATCTGAGGCTGGTGGATGGACCAGTAATCCACTGGATAATCCTCCCAGGGCTTTATTTCAACCCAGCTCATGAGGGTCCTGGTAGCCAATAGGTTGATCTAAGGCTGACCGTGAGCTAGCAGTATGCCCTGGTGGCCAGGAAGGCCAATGGGACCCCGGGATGCACTGCACAGACCATGGCCAGCAGGGCCCAGTGCTGGGCTCCCCATTTCCAGGCAGACTGGGAACAGCTGGGAGGTGGTGAGGGCCTGGAGCACCTCCTGGTGGGGACAGGCTGAGAGCCCTGGGGCTGTGAACATGGAGTAGAGAAGGCTGAGAGAGGGGGTCTGATCGACAGCAAGCTCTTTCGATGCTTGGCATCTCGTTTTTCCTTGACTTCTTATTCTTAATATAAATCAACTGAAACGTTTTCTGGTTTCTCCGCAGCAGATGCAGCACAAAATGACCACAAATGAGTCACTGGGTTGTCTGAACATGCAAAGCCTTTCGAGCTGATGTTCCTCATTATGCGGCTTCCCCATCGCATTCTTGTTGCCTCACATTTCTGTGGGGAAATGTTAGCTGCTGGCATGGGGATCGCAAAGTGCCAGGAGCAGCTGCTGCCATGGGAGGTGACAAGCTGTATTTGGGACCTTACCTTCATAGAATCATAAAGGTTGGTTGGTCGTCAAGTCCGACTGCCAACCCATCCCCACCTTGCCTACTAAAACCTTGCATGGGGAAGGACTGGAGCTGTGGCAGCAGCACTCAGGCTGATTCATCACATGGTTTGGGGGTGAGATTTGGGGTTTTTCTACCTCAGATCACCCGGTGGCAATGCTGAGTGGGTGCAGACAGCTGCCAAGCCTGGGCAGAACTGAGGCAGAACAGTGAGCTTCTCATCCCGTGGGGATTCTGAACTGCTTTTTCTCTTCAGGATTTGTTTGTTCTGTGCTTCCTGTCTTTTGTCGTTAGTTTGAAGTCACTAATTGTGGTGCTGGTAAAAGAGAAGTTCCCAGAGCAGTGTGGGTGCTCCATCCTGGAGCTGCCCATGACCATGGATGAGGTCTGGGTGGCATGAGCTGGTGGGGGGGAACCCAGCCCATGAAAGGAGTGGGGCCAGAGGGCTTTGGGGTCCCTTTCCACTCAACTGTGCTGGGATTCTGTGATCTTGAAGGACCCTTCCAATCCGACCATCCTGGGATTCTGTGTTCCTGAAGGACTTGTCCATCCCAACCATACTGGGATTCTGTGATCTTGAAGGACCCATCCAACCCAACCATTCTATGCTTCTGAAGGGATGCCTGTTCAGTCTTGTAACTGAAATATTGTACAGCAGGGAGATAGCTTTCCCCCAGACAGACATACTTGCATAACCACAAAGCTGTGCCAAGTAGAATTTAGGATCCCCCAAACAAGTCCAAGTGCCCTTCAAAGCATCTTTGAGTAATTTGTCCTCTGTCTTCCTCCAGGACGTGACAAATGTCACGGCACCATCACTAGGATCAAACAACCTGCTCTTTTGGTGATTTCTCTGGTTTTTGTGGATTTTTTTTTTTTTTTTTTTTGTATGTCAGTTTGGGAGTAGAAATCACTTTTTTTTCTCTTTACAGGAGTAGGGGGACAGTGGCGTGTTGGCCTTCGTTTTGGGTAGAGATGGATGCTGCCACATCCTCGCTTCTTCCTTGGAGTTGATTTAGGGCCATTCCTGATGCAGATCCTTGGCACTTCCCCGTGTTGTCATGGAAAACAAATTAAAGCCCTTTCCCTTCTGTGAGGATAGCACTGCCTCTTGGGCAAATCCATTCTGGAATTGTCAGAATCAGGAAAGAGTTCTGGGTGAAAATCACCTTTAAGTGCTGTTCCTTTTCACGTGGCTTTTGCTGCTCTCCTTTCCCATAGGCACAGCCATCCTTGGCTGATCTTTGAGCATCTTAATGCATGTGCAGCCCGTGAGCCCTCACGTTTCCTTCTCTTTATTCAGCTTTTGAGAAGCCCTGGACAGAGGGAAAGCACAGAACGTGCTTCAGAGACGAGCAGAAGGAGGGGACGCGTGCGGAGAGCCAAGCTGTCTATCAGGCACCCCCCAGCACATTACAACGCATTGGGGCAGAGCCTCAGTTACCACTGCAAGGATTTTGCTTCCTCATCCCTCTCACCCATCCACTCCTTTTGTTTTTTATCCCCACGTAAAACGCATTCAGGTCGTCACCCACCTCCATCTGCAGAGTGGATCAGGGAGGCACACAACTGAAAGAACAAACGTCCATTTCTTTTTTCTCTCCTTCCTGGAAGTCTTTTGCTTCCACGTAAGGGCTGTGTGCTGTGATAATGCAGAAATGGATAGTGTTGGGTTTTAGCTATTTCAGTTATTTAACTGAAGAGTTATTCTTCACGTGAACTGTTTTGGGAAACCGCAGCTGTGTAATTCAGGGGATGGTTCATGAGCCTCAAAGGGGTGGTGCTGGAAGGCATCAAGTGTTGGATTTTTCTCATCAGTGTCAAAGAACTGCTGAAACCCAAACCCAAGACATTCTGTGGTTCTGCCATCTTTAAAATCGCTTCCAACCCAACTGTTCTGTGGCTCTGTACACAGAACCCCACTCTGTGCAACCCCGTGGTGCAAAAGGCAGGATGTGTTTCCTTGGGAAGGAGCTGCAAACAAACCTGACAGACGTTTAGAGAAATCCAGCCCCCGTTATTGGCAGGCGCGCTGCCACTGTGATAAATGCTGTGAGATTTGTGCCCAGGGTGTGAATGACTCACTTACACTTGATGTGTTGCTGCTCACAGTCTGTGCTTTGTGGGATTTCCAGGTTTCTGGAGGTGTGAGGTGTGCGCTCCCCGTGGTGTATCACAAGAGCCATCCCTTGGGGCTCTCCTCTGACTGAGACAGTAATGCTGAGAGTGATGGAGCTCAGATCTTAAGCTCTGCTGAGCTGCATGGATGGAGTTGGAAGTTTGTGGGGCTATGGATGCTTCTTCCTGCAGTGTTTGGGTTGTGTAAGGGAGCTTGTCCGAGCTCATAGATCCATAGGGCCTTCCCATGCTGCTGTGCTGTATTTTCACTTCAGCCATCCATTGGTTTTGTCCATGAAGGAGAGAATCATGGAATGATTGGGTTGGAAGGGTCCTTCAAGGTCACAGAACCACAGAATGGTTGGGTTGGAAGGGTCCTTAAAGATCACACAGCCATAGGATGGTTGGGTTGGAAGGGCCCTTCAGGGTCACTGAGTGCTTGGGTTGGAAGAGTCCTTCAAGGTCACGGAATGGTTGGGTTGGAAGGGTCCTTCAAGGTCATAGAAAGGTTGGGTTGGAAGGGTCCTTCAAGGCCATGAAATGGTTGGGTTGGAAGAGCCCTTTGAGGTCACATAATGGTTGGATTGGAAGAGTCCTTCAAGGTCATAGAAAGGTTGGGTTGGAAGCGTCCTTCAAGGTCACATAATGGTTGGATTGGAAGAGTCCTTCAAGGCCATGAAATGGTTGGGTTGAAAGGGTCCTTCAAGGCCATGGAATGGTTGGGATGGAAGGGTCCTTCAGGATCACTGAGTGGTTGGGTTGAAAGGGTCCTTCAAGGCCATGGAATGGTTGGGATGGAAAGGTCTTTCAAAGTCAAGGAACATGTTGTGTCTGCAATAAATGGGACGCGCTCGCTCTGCATGCAGACCAGAAAGCTGCAGTCACTGCTTTGTGTGTTCCCATGCCTTAGCCATGATGCTTACCCTTTGCTGTCAAGCAGTTTAATATTTTTAACAACTTTTTTTCTTCCTTTCTAATGTGACAACAAAGAGAATGTTCAACAGGATAACTGAGCTGAAAGCACGGCGCAGTGAGATCGTTATCGGCAAGCATGGCTGAATGGCTTTAGGAAGTATGTGCTTATTCATTAACTTTGAAATCTGCTCATGAGACCTCTCAGTTCTCCTGGTGGTGTTGGACAGAAACGGATATTTTGGAGGCTGAGCCTGGGATGGAAAGCTCTTGGTGCAGTAGGTCACCGTGAGGTGGTTGTAGGCTGCTTTGAAGAGGTGGGTCACAGGGAGGTGGCTGTGGGTCGCCGTGGGATTGTTGTAGGCTGCTGTGAAGGGACTGTAGGCCGCCACGAGAAGATTGCAGGCTTCTATGAAGAGACTGTAGGTCACTGAGAGATGGTTGTAGGTCACCACAAGGTGATTGTAGGCTGTTATACATTGTAGAACGTGAATACGTTGTAGACCACCATGAGGTGGCTGTAGGTCGCAATGAGGGAACTGTAGGCTGTCATGAGGCAGCTGTAGGTAAATGGTGTGCTTCTCCATGTGGCCTATATCCAGTTCTTCCAGGAGGCTCAAGCATAAGATTTTTTTCTCACTCTTGTTCAGTTCTGCGTGGGGAAGCCCCATTGCATGCTGCAGATGTCAGCACTGCTCTCTGCCACCAAAATCAGTTGGTTTGGGATTTCTGATGCTTGGAAAGAAAAAAGGCATTTTAATCTTCGGTTCATGGAGTGAGTGAGACGTGCTCGTTATCATTAGCCTGTTCCAAGCACAGTCTGGATTTGATGCTTGGTCTGAATTGAAAGCGACAGTGTATATTTCTGAAATCCATTTCAGTGTTTAATGCTCTGTTGCAAAAAAAAAAGAGTCATTAGGGTAATGCTACGCCCATTGGCTTCAGCAACTCTTGTCTCAAAGGCAGCACTCCCAGACTTTGCATTGTGCCTTTTGCTGTTTTTATGGCCCGGCTGCTGCAGTTGTGATGTTGGATAACAGCCTCATTCTCTGCTGAACGTTTGAGAAAGTGCTGATTAGCAGAAAACAGCTTTTAATTGTGTGCTTGATGGACTGAAATACGGTGGGGGTGATCTCTTCATCCCTGTGGTAAATTTTCATCTCCCACTTTGAAGACTGGAGAAGAATCGTCTTTTGATATTCCCTTTAATTTTCATATTTTCGTCTTAAAAAGAGACGATGATGCTCTTAAATAGAACTTGAGAGGTTGGGGAAAGAACATTTGGGTCGAGGAGTAATTTTTTTGGAGCAGTTTAGAACAGAGCCGCTTCATTTCTCGGAGCGGAATGACGCACGTCTGAACCCTGCACCAAAAATGACATTGGCCTCCATTCGTGTTGCAACAAGCGCTGCTGTCTGGCTGCCTTTGGATTGTGCTTCAGAGCAAGGTCTGCCTCAAACAACAGGTCTGAACAGATGGATATCTGACCGAGCTCAGTGCTGTGTTCCTCAACGTGACGCCGAGGCCGTTCCTGACCCCGTGGGGCACTTGGATGCAGTGACGGGCGCAGGGAGCCTGCAGCGATTTCGACTTGATTTGCCACGCCACGGGTTTAATTGCAATACTCTTATGTGCGCAATTAAACGTGCTTAACCCTTTGGTGGAGGAAGAGCTTGATGCGAGCCAGCTGCAGGGAGCCCTTGTTGCAACCTTCCAGGGCTTGAAGGGAGATTGCAAGCAGGAGGAGAGTGACTTTGTATGTGGGCAGAGTGCGATGGGACACGGGGGAATGGCTTTAAGCTTAAAGAGGGGGAGGTTGAGGTCTGATGTAGGGGATATTCTTTCCCCTGAGACGGTGCCCATAACTGTGGGTGCCCCATCATGGAGGTGCCCAAGGCTGTGGATGGGAGCCTGGGCAGCCTGAGCTGGGGGGCACCCAGCCCATAGCAGGGGTTGGGCTGGGGGGCTTTGGGTCCCTTTCAACTCAACCGTTCTGTGGTTCCATGATCTTGAAGGACCTTTCCAACCCAACTGTTCGATGGTTCTATGATCTCCTGGGTTAATAAGAAACAATTCAAGTAAGAAGAATTGTCACAGCCAGCTTTTGATGGAGTTCACATAGAGTTGTAAATAAGGTTGGAAGAGACCTCTGAGATCATCGAGTCCAACCACAAACCCACCTCTACCACAGCCATTCAACCACGTCCCCACGTGCCACGTCTCCATGTTTCTGGAGCACCTCCAAGGAAGGTGGCTGCCCCTCCTCCCTGGGCAGCCTTTTCAGTGCATCACCACCTTTTAGAAGACTTTTTTTCCTAAAATGGGATACGTCTGGGGTATAGCCAGCTCATGAGATCTGAGTGCCAAGGGCAATTTAAATTACAAATGCAAGTTTATAGCTCCTTTTGTGTATGCATTTCTCCACCTAGAATCAAAGTTTGTGCGTTGTGACAGGTCTGGAAGACTTAAAACTGATATGTGAACATTGTGACCTGGGTATAGGCAAGAAGTTGTGGCTTGAAGGACATCTCTAACCTAAAGACCTGGTTTATCACATTTGTTGGTGGCCTTGGTGTTGTTGTTACCAGCTGCATTGTTTGTGTACACAGTACAACATTGTTCCTAACGTATATAATTGTTAAAAGAAGGAGTGTGAATGCAGTCTTGACCTTTAGAAGCAGTTCAGATCAGCGTTCTGGGACAGATCCTAATCTCACCTCTACACAAAACACTGCAGAGCTGCTGGCTCACAGCTGCACGCTGGCATTTGGTTTGTGCCATTCGCTGCATGGAAAACAGGCAAAATTGGCTGGATCCTTCTAGTTCTGTTTGCTTCGCTGGAGCTCTTTGACATCTACATTCTTCGGAAAAGAATTTCAGCCAAGCAGGAGTTCAGAAATCCTGGCAGTTTGTCTGTGCTTCGAAATAGGGCCCCATCCCTGCTGCTGAGGGTCTGCTGGTGTCCCAGGTGTGGGGTTGGAGCTGCATTCGTGCTTCCTATTCTTCTTTCTGCATCAGAGCAGTGCAAAACCTGATTTAATTAAACCTGAGGCACCGTCCCTTCAGGCCTGGAGAGAATCCCAGCTCATTCCCATTTACTGGGACCACGAAAATCGCAGCGAGAAGCTGACTGAGGCTCAGACTGGTTCTGCTGTCAGCCAGTGTGGCAGCCTTGATCACTTCCTTCCCACATTTCCCATTAGCTTGGACTTTTCACTCAGCTTGCTTTCTTTTTGCAGAGAAGCCCGCCCTGTGTTTGCTTCTTCCCACTTCTCCCCATTATCTCAGTAGGTTACATTGAAATGCATGGACATCCTTTGTTCAAAGCAATGTTAGTTAGAAGCTTTGCTCTTTCAAATGGCTCCTTTTGCTTTTGCTGTGTTCCCTCAACACCGTTTCTGAGCTCTAGAGATAAACAACAAGGAGCTTGTAATGAGCCAGAACCCCAACTGATGGAAATCATGGTTATGGAACAATCAGTGTTTTCATTCTACTGTTTCAATAAAAGTCCCCCCAAAAATAAAGGGAGAAAGGTGAGAAATGCTATTTGTTAACATGAGCTTCTAAACTTAGAGATGTTGTTGTGTTACATCTTGATCCCAGATTTGGGGGAGGACGTACTGCCCGGTGTGTGTCCCTCCTGGAAGGAGGGGAGCAGCTCTTGTGTTGGGCTCCTATCAGTATCTTTTTAAGAAGTGATCTGTGGAGCATCTGCTTGATTCCCAGAGTGATTCTTTTCATGATTGTTTCCATAAGGCATTAGCACATAAGGGGATGACTCTGTCTGCATAGACAGAAGGAAAGAGGATTTGAGGGGAACACAGATGAGGGAGAGCTTTGCAGAAGGACACGGAGCGCTCTGCAAAGCACAAACAACAGAGCTTTGGCTATTATTTATTGCTCACATCGTGATGAGCTCTGGACTCAGGATTCATTTCAAAAAACAGCATGAAGCAATCTCTGATTTTGGGAGGGCTCTGGGACAGCTCACCCTCAAAGCAGCCGCTGCCCTTGGGGACTGAGAGCTTCGACCTTGAGCTCCTCCAGTGGGAGTCCATCTACTTATGCCCTGCTTATTTTTCTGACCATTTTCTCTCGTTGAACTTGGAGAGAAGCAATACCTGCAGTTCTTGTGACGAGACATTTTGTGGCCATCTGCTGGTGACCGCATGGATCATAGGATCACAGAATCATTCAGGTTGGAAGAGACCTCCAAGATCAGTCTGATTTTGTTGATCAGGGAAGTGAACTGGGGCATTTATTTCCACCAAAGACGGATGATCTGTGGTGGAAAATTGTCCCTGTGAAGTTCCCTGAATGCAGCTGCGTGGTTCGTTCAGTCTGCATGTTGTGGATGGATTATTTCTAACTGCATTCAGTGGTGTTATAGAATCAAAGAACTACAGAATGCTTTGGGTTGGAAGGGTGCTTAAAGATCATACAGTCATGGGATGGTTGGGTTGGAAGGTCCATAAAGATCACAGAATGATTGGGTTGGAAAGGTCCTTAAAGATCATAGAATGGTGGGATGGTTGGGTTGGAAGGTCCTTAAAGATCACAGAATGATTGGGTTGGAAGAGTCCTTAAAGATCATAGAGTCATGGGATGGTTGGGTTGGAAGGTCCATAAAGATCACAGAATCATAGAATCACTGGGTTGGAAGAGTCCTTAAAGATCACAGAATGATTGGGTTGGAAGGGTCCTTAAAGACCATAGAGTGATTGGGTTGGTAGGGTCCTTAAAGATCATAGAATGGTGGGATGGTTGGGTTGGAAGGTTCTTAAAGATCATAGAATGGTGGGATGTTTGGGTTGGAAGGTCCTTAAAGATCGTTTAGCCACAGACTGGTCGAGTTGGAAAGGACCTTAAAGATAACAGAACTATAGAATGGATGGGTTGGAAGAGTTCTTCAAGATCATATTGCTACCAAATGGTTGTGTTTGACCCCAAAACTTCCAGCCCCCCCCCCCTGCTGTGGGCTGGCTGCTCCCCACCAGCTCAGGCTGCCCAGAGTCCCATCCAGCCACGTCTCACTGTACCTTGCACACATCACACATGGGTGCATTTATTCAAAACACAAAAATCCCACTCATATCTCACAGTTATTTGGCACTCTGGATCCATTTCCTGTAAAGGATTCAGGATTTCGAGCAAATAAATACCACTTCAGCTCTTGTTCTTGGCTGCTCAGCGCTGTTATAACTCAGGGACTGGAACAGAAGCAGAGCTCAGTGTGTTTTGGAAGCCTCGGGAATGTGGAGTTTGGGCATCCCCATGGTTCAGACCCAAACAGCACAGACCGTGGGTGATCCAGTGCCGGTGCTTATATTGCTCATAAGACAAAGCATCAACATCCTTTTATAAGATCTGGTCTCGAGTTTGAAGAGTTTGAAATTAATAATTGTGGAGATGTGGTGCTGGGGGACGTGGTTGGGTGGGCATGGTGGGGGTGGGCCGGGTTGGATGTAGTGATCTTAGTGATCTTTTGCAACCTTTTTGATTCTCTTTGGGGACGTGGTTTATTGGGCATGATGGGAGTGGGTTGGGGATGGAGATGGTGACCCTAAAAGGTCTTTTCCAACCTCAGTGATTGTGTGATTCTCCTTAGGGATGTGGTTTGGTGGGCATGGTGGGGTCAGGTTAGGGATGGAGATGGTGACCCTAAAAGGTCTTTTCCAACCTCAGTGATTGTGTGATTCTCCTTAGGGATGTGGTTTGGTGGGCATGGTGGGGTCAGGTTGGGGATGGAGATGGTGACCCTAAAGGTCTTTTCCAACCTCAGTGATTGTGTGATTCTCCTTAGGGATGTGGTTTAGTGGGCATGGTGGGGTCAGGTTGGGGAAGGAGATGGTGACCCTAAAAGGTCTTTTCCAACCTCAGTGATTGTGTGATTCTCCCTAGGGACGTGGTTTGGTGGGCATGGTGGGGTCAGGTTGGGGATGGAGATGGTGACCCTAAAAGGTCTTTTCCAACCTCAGTGATTGTGTGATTCTCCTTAGGGATGTGGTTTGGTGGGCATGGTGGGGTCAGGTTAGGGATGGAGATGGTGACCCTAAAAGGTCTTTTCCAACCTCAGTGATTGTGTGATTCTCCCTAGGGACGTGGTTTGGTGGGCATGGTAGGGTCAGGTTGGGGATGGAGATGGTGACCCTAAAAGGTCTTTTCCAACCTCAGTGATTGTGTGATTCTCCTTAGGGATGTGGTTTGGTGGGCATGGTGGGGTCAGGTTAGGGATGGAGATGGTGACCCTAAAAGGTCTTTTCCAACCTCAGTGATTGTGTGATTCTCCTTAGGGATGTGGTTTGGTGGGCATGGTGGGGTCAGGTTAGGGATGGAGATGGTGACCCTAAAAGGTCTTTTCCAACCTCAGTGATTGTGTGATTCTCCCTAGGGACGTGGTTTGGTGGGCATGGTGGGGTCAGGTTGGGGATGGAGATGGTGACCCTAAAAGGTCTTTTCCAACCTCAGTGATTGTGTGATTCTCCTTAGGGATGTGGTTTAGTGGGCATGGTGGGGTCAGGTTGGGGATGGAGATGGTGACCCTAAAAGGTCTTTTCCAACCTCAGTGATTGTGTGATTCTCCTTAGGGATGTGGTTTAGTGGGCATGGTGAGGTCAGGTTGGGGATGGAGATGGTGACCCTAAAAGGTCTTTTCCAACCTCAATGATTGTGTGATTCTCCTTAGGGACGTGGTTTAGTGGGCATGATGGGGTCAGGTTAGGGATGGAGATGGTGACCCTAAAGGTCTTTTCCAACCTCAGTGATTGTGTGATTCTCCTTAGGGATGTGGTTTAGTGGGCATGGTGGGGTCAGGTTGGGAATGGACATTTTGGACATTGTGTTGAGGGACGTGGTTTAATGAGAACTATTGGTGAGGGGTGGATGGTCGGACTGGGTGATCCTGTGGGTCTTTTCCAACCTTGGTGAGTCTATGGTTCTACAGTTCTATGACATGGTGAGCTTAGAGGTCTTTTCAAACCTTTCTGATTCTCGTTGGGGACGTGGTTTATTGGGCATGATGGGTTGGGGATGGACGTGGTGACCTTAGAGGTCTTTTCCAACCTCAGTGACTGTGTGATTCTCTTTAGGGACGTGGTTTAGTGGGCATGGTGGGGTTGGGTTGGGGATGGGCATGGTGACCTTAGAGGTCTTTTCCATCCTCAGTGGTTCTGTGAATTATAGAATGGCTCCAAACGTTTTAGGTGCACTAAATAGGGAATTAAGTGACGCAGAAATATGCTGCTATGTTTGTTTTCCAGAAACAGAAGTGTAAATCTGATTGTTAAGATGTTCTCAGGCTCTCAGTCCTGCTCTCCACGCCATCACCCAGGCTGTGTTTTGGGCAGGTTCAGCTTTCAGTGCTGGCATGTCATCCTTAAGCACAGGTCAGACAAAGAGTGGAGATGGAGAATGCATTTCTGACCTCGTGAGCTGGGCTTTTCCATGCACCAAGGCGCCGAGCACTTCTGACAAATGGCTCCTCTGGGACCCACAGAGCCTGCATCACTGCTGGCTGGCTGCTAAGTGATTAAAACACGTCAATTAGCAGATGGTAATAGTGCTCGTTAAGCTTGATTTCACTGAGGCCTGATGAACCTGGAGATGCTGCCGTCTCATTGACAGCGACTGCGTCTTTTCCTCTCTGGGCACATTTGTTCTGTGCTGAGAGGTTTGTTGTTGGTTGCTTTTTTTTTTGTAATTTATTTTTTCAAATCTACATTAATAACACATGAGGTTATGCACCGTAGTCCTGGTGAGATGGAGGGATGAGCACAGAGCTGGGAAGCTCACGTCATTCTCAAGCAGAGGGTGTGATGTGGGGAGGGATGGGAACTGCACGTTTTCTTTTCTGCTAGCAGCACTCAGTAGGACACACAGGGAGAGTTATGGGGTATTCGGGTGTTCCAGGGGTTCCCAAATGCCAAGAGCCTGCTTTGGATGAGATCATTAAGAGGACTCGTTAGAAACAAGGGGACAAATGACAGGGATTTCCTCACTCTGATGGCCGCAACCAGGGGTTGGCCATCCAGAACTGTGATACCACAACCAGGGGGATGTAAGGCAACCTTGGAACGGGGTGCCTTTTTGCAACACGCAGCCCTATGGATGTGCTGTAGATGTGACATGAGGACAGGGTGTGAATCTGTTTGGGGTCCTCCTGCTAAGGGAGGTTCAGATGGGAAATAAGGAAAAATCTCTCCGTTACGAGGCAGTTGAGTGCTGGAACAGGCTGCTGGCAAGGCGGGTGATGCCTTGTGCTTGGCAGCCAGGCTCAGAGGGGCCCTTCCCAGCTGAGCTGCTCCATCCTGAGATCCTTCAGTCCCAGTGCGTGCGCTCAGAGCACGGAAGGTGAACGCCTGGCATCTGCATCTGCTGGTGACCGCGTGGATCGCAGGATCACAGAATCATTGAGGTTGGAAGAGACCTCCAAGATCATCACTCCAACCCATGCCCACTGAGCGTCCCTCAGTGCCACATCTCCATGGTTCTCCATTGGGGCGAAGAGCTGCAGGACGCAGCGCGGGGCGGCAGTAATCCCTCCTGGGAACGCTTCTCCGTGTCCCTCAGAGGACCTGTTCCTCAATTCCCATGGGAAAATGGAACAGAAGGGGGAGGTGGCCGTCGCTGCCTATTGAAGCAGCTCAGCCTCTGATTACGCCAAGGTCTGCTGATTAAAGCTTTGCTCGTTAACTTAATTTTCCCCGCTTCGCTGACAGCCGAGCGGCTCGTGACGCAGCCAGTGTCGTTTCCAGCACCAATTTGGGGCGTTTGCAGTCAACCTGGGAGCTTGCAGCATGCAACCAAGTTGGACTCGTTGATCCTCATGGACCCCTTCCAGCTTGTGATGTTCTGAGATGCTGAGCAGGGAAGCTTTTCCATCTCAAATATCCAAATATGTTTTAGATTCTCCTCTCTTGTTTTATTACTGGGTTGGATTTTTTTTTTATTGGGTGCTGGGGCACAGATTTGGCTCGAGGGCCCTGGAATCATAAAATCATTAAGGTTGAAGAAGACCTCCAAGATCATCAAGTCCATCTGTTGACCCATCACCACCATGCCCACTACTCACGTCCCCAGGTGCCACATCTACATGTTTCTTCAATCCTTTTTGTTATTATTTTATGTTCCTACCCTTCCTTTCTCCACCACTCCATGAAGCTTGAAGCAATTTTCCATCTCTCTCCCAAGTTGTCATCCCTTATTCTTGTGCCCAAGCAATGCAATGCTGTGGCTCAGAATTGGAATCTCTCTTCTTTTTTGTCCTAAAGCTGCTGTCAGAAGCAAGCAGCAGCGCAGCAGATGGCAGCGTACCAGTATTAAATGGTTCTGAGACTGTAGGCTGCTGCTGCTGGCGGCACAGTGCGTGGTGTATGGGCAAAGCATTCTGCCAGCAGAGATTTTTGGCATGTTCTCAAAGGATTGGTCAGCCTGCCCAGGGCAATGCATATACGACATGGGTTTAGGCTTGCAAGGGAATGGCTATAATAAGATTATCATTATTTTTTTTCCCTTGTAGCATTTCTCTTCTGGCTGAGCGTGTTTGTGGAGGGCTGGCGTGGGATGTGCAGAGCCTTTGCTGTGAGTCAAATGGGTCAAATGACCAGGGGTCTCCCTGGCCTCTTAGGTCCCTTCCAACTGATCCATTCTGAGTTCTTCAAGGTCCCTTCCAACCAATCCATTCTGAGTCCTTCAAGGTCCCTTCCAACCCATCCATTCTGAGTCCTTCAAGGTCCCTTCCAACCCATCCATTCTGAGACCTTCAGGATCCCTTCTAACCCATCCTGAGACCTTCAGGATCCCTTCCAACCCAACCATTCTGAGTCCTTCAAGGTCCCTTCCAACCCATCCATTCTGAGTCCTTCAGGATCCCTTCCAACCCAACCATTCTGAGTTCTTCAAGGTCCCTTCCAACCCATCCATTCTGAGTCCTTCAGGATCCCTTCTAACCCATCTTGAGACCTTCAGGATCCCTTCCAACCCAACCATTCTGAGTCCTTCAAGGTCCCTTCCAACCCATCCATTCTGAGTCCTTCAGGGTCCCTTCCAACCCAACCATTCTGAGGTCCCTTCCAACCCAACCATCCCATGATTCTATGATCTTTAAGGACCCTTCCAACAGAGGTCCATTTTTTTAGTTCTGTGATTGTTAAGGTCCCTTCCAACCCATCCATCTTTGACTCTGGGATTCTGGCATTCCATAACCCAAATGATGATGTGGTCAGTTAAAGTCAACGCAGGCTTGCTGCGATGCTGCCTTTCTCACTCTCCTGCCCTGTTTCCTCTTGCCTCCTCTCCAAGTTTGATTTGAACAGAAATGTATCATCCCAGTCATTCTGTCAGCCAATATTCGAATGCTCGTGCCAGCTGCAATTTTGCCTTTTAAAGACAATCTCAAGCTGCATGCTCCATGGCAGAGCCATGTGCCATGTTCAGAGTACACTCCTTTCTCCTGGAGGATCCTGCAGCTTTACCCAGCCCTGATGTTTTACTGTTCAGAGAGCTCCATGTCCCCGGAGCACTGCAAACCTCGTGGGGAAAATCATTTGTTTTAAAAATGAATTTTTCTCTGATGATAAAATCTAGCAGCAGGATCTCATAAACAGCCTGATTGGATCAGATCTGCATCTGAAGCATCGCTGGAGTGCTGCTGGGTAGTGCAGATATCTGCACACTCTGGGTATTCCTCACTTCAAAAGAAGTAGTTCAAGAGAGTGGAAAACATTTCGAGAAACACTTTGATAATGCCCTCAGGAATGTGCTTTAATGTTTGGTTGTCCCTGCTGGGAGCAGGCAGTTGCCCCTGATGAGTTTGTGGGTCCCTTTTGAGTCATTCTTCTCTTCATTCCATTCTATTCTGTTTTTCTCCATTCTCCTCCTTCTCTTTCTCCTTCCTTCTTCTCCATTCTCCTCCTCCGTTCTCCTTCTCCTCCTCCATCCTTCTTCTCCTTCTCCTCCTCCATTCTCTTCCATTCCAGACACCAGCAGGTCCATGAGCCCTGGGAAGATGTTTCTTGCCACAAAGCCCCAGCCTTCAGTCTCTGCAAACGCTTTTGGTTAAAAGCTCACAACTACTCCAAAGCTGGGCTGTGTTGAAGGCAGAGGGTGGGACACAGGCAGCAATGCAGCGAGCTAATGAGAAAATGAGACTTGAGCTCAACTTTTAAGAGCTGGGTGGCTCCGCTAAAAGCTGCATCTGTTTTGGTGTTGACTTGACAAAAAGCCTTGAATTGGAGAGTTCATCATTTTCTGTCCCCTTGGGAAGGAGATCTCTGAGCACCAGGAGCTGGGAGCAGCCCGACGTTTATTAACTTGTCGAACTCACTCTTGCAAGTTAGCCTGAAGCTGGGCAGACCTCTAATTCACTCCGCTCCCCGTCGTTTTATTTGCAGCAGGAGGCTCGAATGCTTTTTCCTTGGGCTCTCGCTCCCCCTTGTGACCATGTGTGGCTTTTGCAGCCCATCGCATGCGTTAAACTCTCACTATCTTCATTCTCGGAGCAGCCTGTCGTGCTGCTGAGTGCAGCCTCGTCCCCACACTTCTGGTGCCGCAGCAGGAACTGAGCCATTAAATTCCACCCGACTTTTCAGCGGAGGACCTGGTGTGCAAATAGTCTTAAAGGACGACGTTGTTCTGCTCGTTCCATCCAGAATTGCTAATTCTCCTTCTCCAGTGAAACCTTTGCTCATGTTTTTGGTGACCATGAAGACTTGGGACTCTTCTCTGCTTTGAAATATACTGCGAAGAAAGAGTTGCCTTGGTTCCCTGAGCCTGGTGCTCACCTCATCTCTCTGAATTGGGAATTTTAAAGCTTTTCCTAAACTTTTCTTGTCCCTTGAATCGATGGCAGCCAGGCTACACAGTTTTTTTGTGGTGTTTTTGTTGTTGGTGTTTTTGTTTTTTGCCAGTGAAAGGTGTAGAATAGAACAGCTCCACTGGAAGGGACCTACAGAGATCATTGAGTCCAACTGCCTGACAGCCTCAGCAGTTCTAAGGACAGGATTAGAGATGGGTCAGTGTTTGGACACGATGATCTCAGAGGTCTTTTCCAACCTTAATGATTCAGTGATTCTCTTGAACACTGATGTGGGCAGGCTGGAATACATGACCCAGTCTTGATGCAGACGTGCAATGGGACAGCAATCCTTGGTGCAGACGTGCAACTGCATGGTGGTCCTTGATGCAGGTGTGCACAGGTCGATGGTCCTTGGTGCAAATGGCTGCAGGATGATGAGGTCCAGCAGGACTGGACCCTATGCAGTCAACTCACCCAACTTCTGCTAAAGACTCGTATCCCATTTGTTGACCCATACTCCTGTTTTGTTGACAGGGACAGCCAAGTGTCCTCGTTCTTTATTTAAGTATTTGGAAGGCTAAGAAGAGCATGGGAGAGAGAACCTGGAGTGTCAGCATGGCTTGTAAGTCAGCAGCTCTTCCTCCTTATGGTAACGGTGCTGGCAAACGATGGGAGTGAGTTGCTGCAGTTCACCAGGGAATCCTGCAAGAGCAAATCCTGTAGGTTTGGAAAATCTCAGCTACTTGTCCCTCGGGGCAGCAGCAGGCAGGCTTCGTGCATTTTTGCTGGTAAGGTATTTTGTGTGTTGCTTGGAGCTGAGGATAAAATAGCCCAAAGCTGGAAGCAGTGCTGAACAGAAGCTGCTTTCACTCAGGAAGGAGGAGCGTGCCAGCAGGGCGAAAATCTCACCAAAACCCAACAAACTTTCCCCAGTTTCTGTTCACGGAGGTGATTCACACAAAATCCATCTGTTTTGCAGTGAAAAGAGGAAAAGAGGAGGAAAATAAGGTGTGTTAACACTGGATTTTTCTGCCTGCTAGCAGCAGAGGGAGCTGCAGCTGAGTCAGCCAGCTCCACCTCTGCTTTTCTGAGCAACACACAAGTCCTTTAAGACTATTTCTGATTCTTCATAAAGCCATGGAATTACACAGTCTATTGGCAACCATATTGAGTTTAAATCCAGTAATAGAGGCATCTGGGTGGCTGCAGCTGTAGAAATGATTGTATTGGGGGCAGAAATGAGGAACCCAGCAAACTCCTGGAGCTGGGCACGGGGCTGACACTGATGGAGCTGGGGAATGGCAGCTGCTGCACTGCTGCTTTCCATATGCCAGCATGGATGGTGAGTTACTTACCGTGCTATTTTCATTCCCACATCACTGTCTGATGGCTGCTGTAGGGAACTGGAAGTCTCAAGAGGAGTTGGGCATGCTCGGGTCTCACTGATCTGCTTTTGGACACAGTGGTTTTGGGATGCAGTGATAGTGCCATTGGGTTCCAGTAACACTGGGATATGGTGACAGTGGTATATGGTGATGTTGGGTACAGTGGCACTGAGATAGAGGGATATGATGATGTTGTGATGTGGTTGTGTTGGGATGTGGTGACACTGGGATGCGGTGACATGGTGGGAGGATGGCGTTGGGATACGGTGGTGTAGGGATACAGAGAAATAGAGATAAAAAGGCACTGAGGTACAGTGGCATTGGGATATGATGACACTGGGACATGGTGGCATTGGGAAACAGCAGTGCTGGGATACAGTGACGTCGGGACACGATGGCACACAGCCAGCAGGAGAGTCAATGAAATTCAAGATCTCCTGGACATGCTCCACTGCCAGGACCCTTCTCCAGCATCAGCTTCCAAACTGCCGGTGACTGATGACACAGGACATGGTCCCTGCCCAGTTTCATGGCTGCTTTGCATTAAGAGCTAATTTTATACCAATTTGGGACTGGTGGGGAGGAGGAGGAGTGGGAGAAAACACGGCACGTTTCAGGGGACTCAGTGTTTCATCAGCTAAGAGATCAGCATAGCAATTATTATCTCTTTAACTATTTCAATTCTCATTATCAAATTAATTCTTCAATCAGATTCTGACATTGCCATAGCACCTGTGACACTGCAGCCACGGCTCAGGGCAGCGTGTGCTTCGTGTCGGTAGCAGAGAGGGCTGGAAACAGGAAAACATGCTTTTCTCTGCTTGGTTTCTCTGATGGAAAGAATTCCCCAAGCAGCTGAAAATACATCGACCTTGCTCCAAAAACCAGGCAGGGCTGGGAGGCAGAAGGCGTGCATCTGGAGCTCAACTCGACGTTGTCCACGGGACTCATTTTCCTAGGTTTCCACTCATCTCTTTCTATTTTTGGAGTCGTTCCTCTCGGTATTTCTTCTAAAAATACTGAGGTCACCAGAATAAGAAGTTTATATGCTCACACAAAGCTATTCTTAGTGCTTGATCTTTGTCTACAAGTGCAACCCATGCGTGGAGGTTGGCTCCGAACTCATCGTTCGTCTCCATGTCCCACGTCGGGTGCCCTCAGCGGAGCTTCCTGAGGCTCTGTGGATTTCACAGCTTCTTTCTGTAAGACCACGCTTCACCATTCAGCGCCTTGTTCCTTTTCTGTGATCTTTTTTAGCTTTTCACCCATATGGCGTGCACATCAGCAACAAAGAAATGAGCTTTCGTAGAATAGAATATCTTGAGTTGGAAGAGACCCGTGAGGATCATCGAGTCCAGCTCCTGACAACGTCGTGTTGGTAGTGATGAACTTTGCATCACGTGCAGCTTTGCTTATTGCTTCAAATTTGGTGGGGTTTTTTGGTGCTGATCGGTACCTTGCAAAGAGCAGAGCAACAGATCTGTCCCGCTCTGTGATCTTCCTCTTTAGGAGCCCTGGATCCTGGTGCTGTTGAATTTGGTGCGCTGAGATGAGCGCCACATGATGACTTCATTGAAATTCTGAATTTAAGTTCTGAGCAGAGTTTGTGATCCTGATTTTAACTCAACTGATTTGAATTCTGTGTGCTTTCTCGGGTCAGTGTGGAAGCGAACAATCACGCTTTAAATAATGATTAGCCTAAGCCTCAGAATGCTCATCATCCTCATTAAGGTCATTATTTCAAGCAGCTTTGTATACTCTTACCTTAACACTCACCCCAAGCCTCTACCTTTGCTACAGCACAGCTCTTACTATTAACCACACATCAACAGACACATGATCCACGTGGGATCTCATGGTTTGTTGATAGTTCTCCAGCCTTATTTTTAGAGCAGGTTTTAATCATGTCGAGCTTATTAAATTACAGTGATGTGTTGAGACTAGTGTTGAGGTCCTAACATCCATTGGGCCATTGCTTCCCAGTGCCCTCTGAGAAATAGAGAATCATGGAATCACAGAACAGTTGTGTTGAAGGGGACCTTAAAGATCGTGAAGTCGTGGTATGGTTGGGTTGGAAGGGACCTTAAAGATCATAGAATCATGGTGTGGTTGGGTTGGAAGGAACCTTGAAGAACATGGAATCATGGTTGGGTTGGGTTGGAAGGGAATCTTAAAGATCATGGAATCATGGAGTGGTTGGGTTGGAAGGGACCTTGAAGATCCTGGAATCACAGAATGGTTGGTTCAGAATCTTAAAGATCATGGAATCATAGAGTGGTTGGGTTGGAAGGGACCTTAAAGATCATGGAATCACAGAATGGTTCAGTTGAAGGGAATCTTAAAGACCATGAAGTTGTGGTATGGTTGGGTTGGAAGGGACCTTGAAGATCATGGAATCATGGAGAGGCTGGGTTGGAAGGGACTTTAAAGATCATGGAATCACAGAATGATTGGGTCAGAACCTTAAAGATCATGGAATCATGGTATGGTTGGGTTGGAAGGGACCTTAAAGATCATGGAATCACAGAATGGTTGGGTCAGAACCTTAAAGATCATGGAATCATTTTATGGTTGGGTTGGAAGGGTCCTTAGAGACCATCCAGTTCCAACGCCCAAATCTAGGCTCTGCCTCTTCTTTGGTTTGTTACAGAAATACAGGTTCTCCCCCTTTGATTCTCTGTGCAGTAAAGTTTCTCTGTAGGAGTCATCTTGGGTGCACTGTCAGAGCAAAATGTTTGGAAAAGGGCTCCGAAAATGAAATGGAAGTGTCAGCAGTGGTGGGGCCAGGTTGGACTCCGGGAGTGCCGTAATGAGAACCCGCTTTGCAGCGTAACAAACACCATCATTGTTTTAGTTGCTCGTTAGTTAATGTTGTTCTAATGAGGCTCTGCTAATGGCATCATCTGACATTGGGCAAAAAGAAGGTTGGGGGAGTTAAAAAGAGCCTAATTAGCAAGTTAATTATAGTGGGCGAGGAAACGGCCCGGTTATATAAATCAGCTTCTGTTACGCACACACGGTAAAAACCTCTCTGAGCTCGGGGAGCAGAAGTGGGCTTGGAGGTGGGAATGTCACACGGAACTGGGGTTCCTCAGCCCAAAGGGAGCCCAGGAGCCTCCTGCTGCTGCACCTTCCCTGCCTCCTTCCCCAGCAGCCGCAATAGGAGCCGCCGGCACCCGCAGCATGCTGAACAAGAAGAAGTACAATGTCGATGGCGATGCAGGCAGAAAAGCCCAGGTGAGGGCAGCCCCCAGGCACCCTAAGGCTTTTTCCTGCCCCTAACATCCCTTTCTTTCTGTCTCTGTCCTCCTTTGATTCCCCAAAACCGCCTCTTTTGGAGCTGGCTGGGGGAAATCCCTCCTTTCTGCAGAACTCCTGTATTTTCTCTCGGCGCAGCGGGGCTGGTCTGTGTTGCACTAGGATGAACTGCGGGCGCCAGAACCGCGGTGCAAAGACCCAGGAACATCCCCAACTAGAAGCAAAGCTTCTCTCATTGGCACATAAGGACTCGTGGCTCCTTGCACATTAACACTTGTGGCTCAGGTTTCTCAGATTGAAGCAGCTGGAGGTGGAAAACCACAGCATCGGTGCAACTCCTAAGCCACGCACCTGCAGCTCTCCAAGCCTTCCTGTTCCTTCCTGATTAGCACAGCCAGCTGCCACCAGTGGAGGCATTTCTACTGGAGCTCAGGTTCCGCCTGCATCCTCTCTGTCTGATCCATCCTGCAACACCTCTTGTTGAACAGAGCCAACGTGATGGAGATGCTCCCGCATGTAGAAACACTTTGAGAGGTCTGAATGCAATTGCTGCACTGCTGGGAATTACTGCACCTTGAATGGGCGACGTGGGGAGGGGGAATCCCAGCAGAGCTCTGTAATAGCAGTTATTCGTTCCCTTGCAAACTGTCTCCACGTATCCCATCGTTGCACGCCGATAACCTGGTGCTTTCATGGAATGGTTCTGCTCGCAGGGGTTTAAATGAAAGAAGAAAAGTTATTTCAGGCCAACAGCTTCTTAGGAAAGGAATCTAAACCCCACTGTGTTTGCTCAGGTACCCTGTCCCACCGGGACCCACTGTGATTCCCAGGGATGAAGGAGCTCCCATCACCTTTTCCCTGCTGCTTAACCCCCTCAAACTCAGCTTTATGTTCCCAGAAAAGGGTCAAATTCCTTATGCATAGGTGACTTCTTCAAGCAAAACCACCTTCTCAGAATACCCCGAGGGTTCAGTTAATAGACTCAACTAATGGTTTGCAGTAAATTGGAGATGTAAATATTTAATCTCACTGCACCGTGTCGATTTTGCCCATAGCAAAGTCCAAGGAGTTTTGCAAGTCGTGTTTCTGATTGTACAGAATGGGTTGGATTGGAAGGGGCCTTAAAGATCATACAGTCGAGGAATGGTTGGGTTGGAAAGGACTTTATAGAGCATGGAATCATTGAATGGTTGGGTTGGAAGGGACTGTATAGATCATAGAATCATGGAGTGGTTGGGTTGGAAAGGACTTTATAGAGCATGGAATCATGGAGTGGTTGGGTTGGAAAGGATTTTAATGGTTGGGTTGGAAAGGACTTTGTAGATCATAGGATCATGGAGTGGTTGGGTTGGAAAGGACTTTAATGGTTGGGTTGGAAAGAACTTTATAGAGCTTGGAATCATTGAATGGTTGGGTTGGAAGGGACTTTATAGATCATGGAATCATGGAGTGGTTGGGTTGGAAAGGACTTTATAGAGCATGGAATCATGGAGTGGTTGGGTTGGAAAGGACTTTATAGAGCATGGAATCATGGAGTGGTTGGGTTGGAAAGGACTTTGTAGATTACAGAATCATGGAGTGGTTGGGTTGGAAAGGACTTTAATGGTTGGGTTGGAAAGGACTTTATAGAGCGTGGAATCATTGAATGGTTGGGTTGGAAGGGACTTTATATATCATAGAATCATGGAGTGGTTGGGTTGGAAAGGACCTTGAAGATCATGGAATCATGGAGTGGTTGGGTTGGAAAGGACTTTATAGAGCATAGAATCATGGAGTGGTTGGGTTGGAAGGGGCCTTAAGGAGCATAGAGTTGTGGAGTGGTTGGGTTGGAAGGGACTTCATAGAGCGTGGAATCGTGGAGTGATTTGGGTTGGAAGGGGTTTCACAGATCATGGAATTATGGAATGGTGGGTTTGGAAGGGTCTTCATAGATCACAGAATCATGGAATGGTTGGTTGGAAGAGGTTTTATAGATCATAGAATCATGGAGTGGTTGGGTTGGAAGAGGCCTTAAAGATCATAAAATCACAGACATGGAGCAGCCCCACTGCTTGTGGAAGAGCACTGGGAACAAGGGGAGCCTGATGGGACCGCATCCAGAGCCCAGAAATGGGACATGGGGACAAAGCCAACCTCCGTGGCCCAGCAGTGGGATCATCTGCAAGAGCAGGTGTTTGGGTCAGGGGGGAACCTGGATTGGGGCAGGCAGTGATTATTTGGCCTTATTGAGCCAAAATTGATTAGTAGGGAGTTTTTCAACCAAGAGTGGGGACCAATGAACTGCGGACAAAGAATCCCTGCAACGAGAGGCTTGTTGCAGGAACAGGAGTGAAGCTGCAGGCAGGAGCCTACCGTGTTGTAAATGCATCTCTTAAAGCTCATTTCACCCTAAGAAGCATCTAGATAGGGGTGACTCTGCTCTAATTATCCCTCCTGCACATTATGAATCCAAGTAATTACTCCTAATGGCTCTGTGTGGCGGCTGCTGCTCACGTCCTTTTCTTGGCAATGCTGACTGCAGCATTTGGGTCCCCGTTTGACCCAAGGTGGCCCATTTTTGAGGCAGGGGAAGGCTCAGCTATGCTCTCTGCCACTGTTCGTCCAAGCATCCTTAACTGACCTTGGGTGATAGAAATGCTCCTTCACACAGAGTGTGGCTGGAATTCATGACTTGGGGTGGTTTGGGTTTTGTTTATTGTACTTCTTTTACAGTAAGCAAAGGGGTTTCCCATTCACTGCAAAGAACACTGCAGGGTGGGTCAATCCCTTGTCATTCTGCAGAAGCTGGGGAGCAATCGAGCTCTCCTGCAACAAATAACTTCTATTAATAGGGAAAATAAGTTTGCGTGGAAGGGGGATGGAAACCATCTACATTCTGTGCTGTAAGAAGGCTCGAGGAGGAGTGTCAGTTATTCAGAGGAGGGATCCTTCTGCCCAGCCCTTGGGTTTTCCCACCTGCTCTAACTCCCTGTTTCTCTCCCCAGATCCAGTTTGCTGACCAGAAGCAGGAATTCAATAAGCGCCCGACGAAAATCGGCCGCCGCTCGCTGTCCCGCTCCATCTCACAGTCGTCAACAGACAGCTACAGCTCAGGTTGGTGCCCCCCCCCGTCCCTGTGTCCTGTCCCTCTGTCTGTGCACCCCAACATCTACGTGTCCCATCCTGACACCCACCTGTCCCATGCCAGCATCGCTGTCCCCCATCCCAACATACGTGGATCCCATCTCAACGTCCGTGCATCCCAGTGTCTGCATGTCCCACCCCGATGTCCATGTAGACCATGGAAAAGGAGGAGCGTGGGAAGGGATTGTTGCTTTTATCTCATCATCTTCACTTGTGTTTGAGTGGAAAAACACATTGCTCTGCTCTTAAAACTCTCCTTTGAATCCTCATGTATGTCTCCTGCTGCCTTTCCTCCTCTCTTTCCCTTTCTTTTTCTCTTCCCGTTCTTTCCCTCCTCTCTTCCTCTTTATTTCCTCCTCTTTTTCCCCATCTGGTTTCTTTGGGCACTTCCAGTTTATACTGATAGTTCATTCCTGGAGCAGACTGTGAGCATTTATTAAAACCTAACGAGATGAAGATCAGGCTGACTTCACCGTGTGCCCCACACATGAAATATCCGACGTTTGGTGCTGATGCAGAAACATGACACAGCAAAGTCCTAGAAACAAACCGGGGGGAATTGGGTGTTTTTCTGGGAATGGGAATTGCTCACTGGGGGTGTTCTCACATTTTGGGCAACAGACCCATTCAGGGTCCATGGCACAGTGAGGCAGTGCTGCTCACTGTCTGAAACGCAGCTCCTTCTCCCTCTCCCTTCCCTTTCCTTTCCCCTTTTTCCCTCTTTTCCCATTTTTCCATTTTCTCTCCTCTCCTTTCCTTCCCCTTTCCTTCCCCTATTCTCTCTCTGCTTTCCCTTCTTTCCCTTCTTCCCATTTTTTCCCCCTCCCGTATTTCCCCTCCATTTTTCCCTCCTGTTCCCCCCCTTTTTTAAACTCCCTTCTTTGTCCCCTTCTTTCTCCCTCCCCCTATTCCCCCTTTTTTTCTTTTTAACCTTTTTTTTCCCCCCTTTTTTTTCCCTTTTTCATCTTCTCTGTTCTCCTTTCCTCTCCTCTCCCATCAGTGCACAAGAATCTGGGTGAGATTTGATTTACAAAAGTCGCCTTCAGCCCCAGGAGATCTGCAGTTCTGCAGAGATCTCTGCACAGCTCTGCGA